ATATGAATAATGCTAATTTTGACTTCAATTATCTCAGCTTAAAGTTGGAAAAGATTTCGAAGAAAGTAGATTTACGGACCAACTCTCTACCAAGGCTCTATCGAAGCTCACTGTACATTACTGGACGTTCCGTTGGCTCACGTAGCTCGAACCGTCCTGGACAATCTGAGATTTTATGCATTCGACGTGGCATTCGAAGAATTGCTGGAGCTGCTCGGTTGTTCAAACGTTCTGTGCTAATTCGCATTCCCATTCGTCAGCAGATACGAGCATCAAGGGATCATTCTGAAGAACATCGTTCGTATGAACAAGCTGTGCGCAACGGAGAGGATAAATAGCGGCGTGCCGGACGGCTGTGAGAAATTCTACACGCTCACATTCGGGAATGAAGCGCGCCTGAAAATACCAGTCAAGCTGCTAAAGTCCTGTATCAACGAGATGGACCTGTCTTTAATAACGCTGTTGATAAATCACTTGAAGGAAATAAATTGCCACATGTACCTCGCCTGGGCCGAGTCGGCCGACCGTGAGAATTCGTTGTTGAGTCTGCAGCGCGCCATCATCATCGAGTGCGTTTACTTCGGGAAAATCGTACAGATGGACGGGAAGTTGCGTGAGGACCAAGAACTACGGACGTATCTGGATCGATTAATAGGGTTGCATAAGCAGCCGCAGCTGACGCTGGAGATCTACAGTAGGGCAGTTGGGCCAGCTGATGAATTTGTGGGAGCTGCTGCAGCTTTATCAAGAATGGGACGACTTAACTTTGCAATTTGTCAACGCGTGGCATATGCTGCTGCTGGCCGAGGACTTCTTGGTGCTTTTCCGTTATCTGAAGCATACGGTTTCGGTGAAGCGGTACACTCATCAGCAGAAGCTGTATTTCCAGCGCATGGTTATGGTGATTATACCAAAGCGCAGCGTGAGAGACGTCTACGACATCACGATGTTGTACGTACTGCGCCACTACTACGACCGCTTTCTGATGAATCTGTACGATCTGCGTGGCTTCCACCTACTGATGCAGCAAGCGACGTGGGACAACGGTCTTCCACAAGAGCCTGTTGATACACATACTGCACAGTTCTAAACGAGTGTTGACGGCTGTGTTCCACATGGCCATCGACGTCATCAACAGTTACATGCCGGAGTAGCTCTTGATATCACGGCCCTTTTTGTACATAAAGATGTCTCATAGTAAGACACTGTTGACGGAGATACTGTATCAGATATGTACGGACGGGTATCCTTGGCAGCCGAAAAAATACGTGAACCTGATCGTTATAATGTTGAAGACCTTCACCACTTCGCCGGAGGACATACGGAACAATGTGTGGATCCGTTACCTGACGGAGAAACCGTACGACTGTAACGTAATGTGCATCCTCAGGATTACCGGTAAGATCATCAACACCCCTAAAGCCACAAGGCCGGCGTGGTGGAACTGTGTTTGATATTGACGCGCAAGATCAGTAACTGACGCAAGTGCGAGTGAAGAAGCGTGAGAAGGTGAACGAGGTGGTGTCGAAGCTGCTGCACGTGCTGAGGAAATGCGTAAGGAAGCGGCACCTCATGACCGTCGTGCAGAAGCGGCTGCTGTTGGACACCCCGTTCACCACACCACACATCGAGCCGCCTAATAAGGCCGCCTTCTGGCCTCTCCTTGTACCTGGTGCAGGGCAATGTTCTCATCATCGTCAACGATTACGCACGACGTTGCCACTCGATGCGCGCGAAGCACAAACTGGCCCGCCGCGAGCACACGGGCATCTGCCACTTCTTCGACAACATATATCTGAAGAAGCAGCATTTCATCCGGCATATGCTACTACACGCCACCGACGCGGAGTTCAGGACGAACTGCTTGGATATCACGACCAAGTATTGGTTCTTCTTCGGATGGCTCGACGAATTGGACGCTTACGACAACGTCACGCGCGTCACCATGGAGGCGATACGCGTCGCGATCGAGTATTCGGAAGACATGCCGTGCGACGACTTCTCCACGCTTTTGTCAAACTGCATACGTTTCACCCAGTTGTTCGCGGGGCATCCGAAAGCCGAATGTCAGGCGGACAGGATCATGCGAGTCCAGCTGAACAATATGTACTTTGTCCTCCGGAGCATGAGGCTCACGCAACGGTGAAAGGCGTACGACAACCTTATCAAGGAACTTGAACTCGTCATGACCTCGAAGGCAACGTCTTTATTGGTGGTAAGGGTAGAGACACGCGGATATATTTCGAGAAATGAAAACTCAACGTTTGAAATGGTTGGAGGCGAATTGCGAAGCAACCTCTCGAAATCTAATTTTCCCGGAATATCGTTGGAAGCGTGCAATTCACACGAAACGTTGCGATGCTAAAACCAATATAACATAATACATCGAAGGACCGTATTTTTTTATAATACTAATCTATAATATTCATTATTATTATTTCATAATAGCATTAAATGATAAGTTATTATTATTACGCAACACGTAACCGTAATGATAGTACTATGCGTTATTATAATTATTTTAAATTATGTGATTTTATAATTTTTCAGGGCAATGCTTCCGATATCTTGGGAAGATTTATTTTAGATGACTATCTCGGTATCTGGGCTTCGGGATTGTCTTCTTTTCTTAGAATGTTCACTCACTTTCAAATTTCGGGAGAGTGAACGAAAAGGTATACGCTTTTTTTCTTTTCTGAGAGCAATGCAAGCTGATCGACGGATAAACGGAATCGAGCGCATTCGGCCGCCCAGAGTCCTTCAAGTAAAAGTCTGAACATCTCCAATTTTTTAATCAAAAATTAAATTTTTTAATCAAAAATAGTATCTGCTTTATCATTAGAATGTCTGTTTATGTGGGTATTTACAATACATCGAGTTCAGACATTTTTCTTTAAAATATACGTGGTTCAATCTTGTATATATATAAACCACTATCTATAAAAATAGGTTTTTTAGTTTATCAAACATTAATTTTTTCATTATTTTATTATTACACGTCTCCCCCACCTTAGAATGAGATTTAGTTACAAATTCTTAGTAGATCCATGATTAAAATCCCTTTATTTGACAATCCTCCGCTCTGCATTTTTTTTTTACCAAGTAAGAAACTAGTTAGTTAGTTAATTAGTAAAAAATAAAAAATGTCCAAACTTTTATCTGAAGGGTTCTGGTGTCGCTTAGTACAATGCATATAATAATGTTAATTGTATAAGATCGCATAGAATTCACATTGCGTATATACACAATGGTATTTTCAGGATTTCTTGAACGAAGTTGCCAAGTTAGTTCATAAGAAGAATGATCTGCTACATGAACGATAACCAGATTAACTACAGCCGAGTGGACGACAATCAGACAAGCGATAACCAAATGACCGAAAACCAGATGAGCGACAACCAGATAAGCGATAATCAGATGAACGACGACCAGATGAGCGATAACCATATGAACGACGACCAAACGATCATGAATAATGCAACCTACGAAATTAATTTACCTAATAAGGATACTTACGGTCTGTTCGATTCTTACAAATTCAATAGCGGTTGTTTTTCGGTGCCAGGCACGGAGAACCATCAATTCATCGCAAAGTTGGAGGAAATAATGTTCACGGATGACAACGGTTGTCTCAATTTTCATCCGCCTTAGTTAGGAGACTATGATCGCTGCGACTCATATATGAAGTCTCGATGATATGATATAATGATCTCGTGATCGATCATTCGACGCGTTGGTAGTCACGATTCGGACTCGAACGTACGCTCCATATAGTATCGATATCATCCGCGGCTCCCACGGTTCATGGATTTTCGGTGGACACGCATCGTTTCGAAAATGAAAACCGGTACCGAAATGCGAATGCCGAGTCGATTTGCCAAAATTTGGAAGCGTTATCCCAAAAATGTTACAATGTCACAATCAGTGCAATGAGAGATTACGTCACGGAACATTTCAACATCTGATATTTTTGGTTTTCGTGTGTTTAGACAAACTATTATTTATCTTCCGACTTAATACCGAGGAATTATTTATTTTTCTACGAGAATCGCATTTTTTAAGTACAACACGTAGTAGAAAAATCAGTAAAAGTTTACGTAGAAATACAGTATAAGAGAGAAAAGAAGAGGAATGTTATTTCGGGAAGACTGTATTGTTAGCAGACTGTATTGTCAGACAAAGTATTGTCAGACAAGTTTCTTGATAAGGATGTCTAACTCTTTCCACCGTTGCGTGATCGTCGTGCCCTGGAGCACAAAGTGTATAGTGTTCAGCAAGACTCGCAGGATCCTGTCCGCCTAACACTCGGCTTTCAGTTGCTCCGCGAACACCTCATTTTTCGGAATAATAGCATATTTCCGATATTTTGAAAAAATATTTCAATATGTCGAAAAACATCCCAATATTTCGGGAGATATCTCTAATAATTTGAAAATATTCTAATATTTTGAAAATACTCTAATATTAGTAAAATATTGTTTTCAAATATTTTTCTCCATTTTGGGAGATTTTTACGGATCATCTCGATTTTGGGATTATAATTTTCCGGGAATAATCCCACTTATCGAACTTCGAAATTCGGATTTTTCAGGACGATACGTGTCCACCGTATTCTTTCACGTATTCTTCCCTTAGAACACAACAATGGCTAAACGTAAAGTAAAGGTTAAAACGATCTCCAGTTTTCGTCATTTCTCCCGCAAAATGTTGACGAATATTTTCCGCCAGTATAGTGATCGACGATTTTTTTCGAAGTATATTTCGAAACCTCGCGGGTTATACACAAGATAGGTCGACTTCAAGACGTTACCAATTGCTCGCCAAAACGATTCCTACGATGCTGATTCAGATTGATATTGACACCATTTGGCGCGTATACTCGATCGTCTTTTTCCAGGTTCCCCGTGATTTTTTAACTAAACGTAATTTTGTTAACGAAATTTCTTCATTTACCTCGTAGCAGTTAGTTGGAATATATCATAGTGTCAAGAATTAAATTATACACACGTCGAGGAGCAATGACAAATATCTTCGAAAACTGCGAAGATATTTGCACGAGGAGTCGAATTTTTTTTTATTGGAAATACAAACTATACAACCTTTTGTTCGCGATGATGAGTTCACCTGCATCGAGCGGAGGCCGTATTGACTGTATTTTCGGCTCATCGGACCACCGTCTGTGTCGCGTGGAATCCTTGTCTTGGAAAAAGGTATGCTTGTGCAGAAACCCGAAGTATCGTCGCGCTGTTTTCCACATACACAGACGAACGCTGTATGCGACAGAGAAAATGAATGTAGAGACGAATAAGAAACGCAAAATGTAATAAAAAAGGATTTATTTGAAACGTATTTGTGTGCGCTTTATACCTATATGTCTAGACTCCTTCTTAATCATAAGAATTAAGTTCTTTTCTTTCCTTTTCATCGACATCGTACAAACCAAATTACAACTACCTAATTAGCACGATACTTTACAACACGGGAATATTATACTTCGTACCACCTGCGTTTATCAAAAAACGTTAACGTAAACCGCTTTTTATCCTTTTTTTGTAAACGCGGCGAAATCGATTCGGTGCGACACGAAACCTCGCGAGATCGTTATTCGAGGCGGAATCATATTAGCCGTATCTTTTGTTTCGTTTTTACTTTTCAAATTCTACTAACGCTATCTTCTCTCTCTCCCTCTCTCTCTCTCTCTCTCTCGCCGTAGAAATAGTCACACCGTGTCGCTGTCGTCTTCTCTCCTTCCAGGAGTGTTAAGATGTATGTATATATACACACACGTGTGTACATATGCACATATAAGAGGGCGGTCCGATAAGTACTTAGCCTACAAAAGAAAAACGAAAATTTTGGAAAAGTGGCGATTTATTTCTCAACATAGTCTCCTTTTAGCTCGATACACTTGACCCAGCGATGCTCCAACTTCTTTAACCCATCTGAAAAATACGTTTTCTCGAAGTCTGCAAAGGCCTCCGTGGCGGCGATGACCTTCTCATTCGACTCAAATTTCTGCCCGGCGAGTGACTTTTTCAAGTTTGGAAACAAAAAAAGTCGCACGGGGCCAAATCTGGAGAATACGATGGATGGGGCAGCAGTTCGTAGTCCAATTCGACCAATTTGGCCGAATGAGGAGGTCATCGCCGCCACGGAGGCCTACTTGCAGACTTCGAGAAAACGTATTTTTCAGATGGCTTAAAGAAGTTGGAGCATCGCTGGGTCAAGTGTATCGAGCTAAAAGGAGACTATGTTGAGAAATAAATCGCCACTTTTCCAAAATTTTCGTTTTTCTTTTGTAGGTTAAGTACTTATCGGACTGCCCTCGTATATATATACATATTTCGACGGTATATATGTACAAGATTCTTCACATTGTAAAAAATATAACGTACTTCGTACTCAATATTAATGCGACGCAGTTAGTGATGCTGAAAGGCCGATATACACATATCTAAATCGTGGCATTAAACTTGCTCTTTTTTCCAGATATTTTTTTCACTTCTTTTTTTTTTCATTTTCTTGTAGTTCGTGAGACCGACGTCGTTTGCATGACAAATGGCGCACGTGTCTCT